ACAGTAGCTATTCTTTATTACTGACGTCTACTGAAACGACCTGAAAAAACACAGGCCTATTGTTTAAACCAGTGGTATTTAACCTGGGGTACGCGAAGACATCTTAGGGGGTACGTGAAATTTAAAAAAAAAATATATTATTTTATGATAAACACTGAATAATCAGTAATGTAATTTATTTAATTTATTTTAGATGTAGATTATATACTATGTATAACTTGAATTATAAACCAACAACTTTGGGGGTAAAAAGTTGAAGAGAAATTATATATGGGGGGTACACGAACAAAAAAGGTTGAATACCACTGGTTTAAACCACAATCCATGTTTCAAAATATGAGGTACGCCTTTGCACTCACTCAGTAAACTACCAAGTTTTATTCGGCTAATTCTTAACGCATTAGCTATTTACAATGAATTAAAACAAATGCTGTCACTTAAAATATGTGGTGTTCACGCTTTTGTTTGATAAAACGTGACTTGGAAAAAAAAATCTCTAAACTTCATAGCACGATGAATCTCTCGGGTGGAGCAAAAGATTGAAACATTAAAGATTTTGACATGGAACTCAGATTTATAAAATCAGATTCCGTGAGAATAAAATCACAGGCGAATATAATAACCACACACAAAATTTCCGTAATTATTTCCAGTTACAATCTGTTTTGTGAAATTTACAAATTCCACACTTGGAGTTTCAAAAGACTTTCCGAATGCAAGCGTATATTCGCCGATTTAATGATCCCGTGGTTTTCGTAGGTGCTACTGGAATGATCCAACACGTGGGAGACAAAGAGTAGGAAAAAAAGAGACGGTCAACACAGAATCTCAGAAACTTGTCCTTTTTTGTCAGTATCTTTTTTCTTGTAGTGTCTCTGTCTACCTCGCACAACGAGTGAGCCCCCATCGCTCTCTGTTCATTCAGGTTGTTGAATATTCATCTGCTCGGACGATAGTCGTCCACCTGTCTGGAAGGTTTGGCTAGTAATCAGGCAACCTGCCTCTTTCACTGGCTACTACCAATATAACCACGTGAATGGTCAGGCTGGTCGCACTCAGCATTCTCTTTACGTACTGAAGCACGTAAGGAGACATGCTGGTCCAGAGGTAAGAAACTCATCTGCCCGTGCCAATAGTCTCGGGTTCGAGACGCAGAAGATCAATTCCATAACTTAAACATTAACATTTTATAAGTGCGCGGAATACAATGATCTTCTCGCCATTAGATATTAGCAATAAACCGTATTGTGACTTTGCCTGTCAAAATTCGTATCTACCGTTACAGCAACCGACTACATTGTGAACATTTCTACAGAAATATTTGTATCTGTATCGTAAAGGGATTTACTAACGTCATTAATCAATCATTATACCTGCTGTTGAACAAAGCGTAAATGTCGATTAAATACTCGGCTTTCAACGTTCTGCTTGTGTTTTTAGATTTCGCTGAAGTAATAAAGGTAAAATGAGTTTCAAGTGGCTAAAAGAAAGGCTACCAATTTCCTAGAATATCGACGTCACCCACAAGCCAAGTAGTTTGCTCCTACATACCTAGTCTGCAAAATTTAATTAGTGTCTGATTTTACTAATTTAGCGAGTTTCAGTGATAAATACGAGGTGAGTGAATGTGGTTAAGTACATATATAATAACCATTATCAATTAAAATATTACAATGCACAAATAAGCGATAGGATTGAGCATCCAAAACATAATTGAAGATCACTGAAAGAGATCAGTTGGAAATATTTAAGACAGAATCACCATTCAGGCTTTTAAGTTTAATGCTAAGAATATGAAATAAATTGTAACTCCTCATTTATAAGATTTACATCGACAATGAAAGAAACATAAAGTTCAATAAGGAGTGTGAAAAGTATGTGAATATTAATATATTATAAATCGCAAAAAAAAATCAGTGTATATAGTTCTACATTTAATATCTAAATTACTTCGTATAAAATAACTGATAACAATTAAATACCTTACTGACAGCAATTTGAAACATTCGTTGCGTTATGCCAATTTGAAAAGTTTAAAAAAAAAATCACATAATTCCATATTTCAGCGGCAATACATGAATACTGCTTCATTCATGTACCGGAGCTGTCTTTTGGAAGACATTTCAGCGAAACACGCAACTTATAATACCACTAAAATATTCTTCAGAGAGAAAAACAGTGTCATTTAATGCATGCATTATTCATACGAATCACCGAGGGTGTTAATGTGTATTTACGGTTTCACTACTGCTAATCATTGTCATTAATCACCCGCTTTTCGGTTTGTACTGGGTGTGGTTTTATTCAAATAAAGACAAGAGCATGTTAAAAGACCTTTGAAAAAACTTCTATGATCGTAACAGGCCATAAGTACTTTTACGTCATAATAACAAGTTTGGTGCATCCATAAGAAAAGACAGTTTCTAACTGCATCACAACGACGGGTTGCCGAGTGCGTTCTTCGCGAACGCCGTTCAAGCTGAATATAAACCCGAGTGGAAAGGCGTCCTCCAACATGGACTACATGGTTTTACACGGGCCTTTCTTTTCCCTAATTTTTTAAATATATTTATCTATTGCAGGAACAAATCTATAGAAGAAAATGTCGATGTTCCGGGTTGTGACGCCTTGAGAACTTTCAGGGCTTAAGCCCTGAACATGGAAACAGTATGTTCCTTCGAAACGTTGGTATCTAAATATAAATTTATAAACCGTTACAATCCAGAGGAGCAACATCGACATCTTCACCGCCATGAAAACCTCAATTTCATAGAGTAGAAAATTTAACGAACACTAAGTGAACCATAGTAAATCACCATAATTTATTTTGTCTACGTATTTTGCTTACTATAGGCCTACACCGAGATATATTTAAAATAAAACTTAAAAGATTTTAATTAAAGGTTCATTTTATATTAGGCATATATAAACATTTTTACTAAGGTCCATTCTACGAAAATTTTATTTCAGTTTCATAAAAGTAGACAACTTTTTGTGTAGGCAATCGATATTAATTTAATCGAAAGATTTCAATTCTTTCCAAGATATGTGGACGGACAGACAGACAGACATAACTTTGCCATTATTCGTTGTCATTATACACATTATGTAGAATGAACGAATTTTGTATGACGTCATCCTCGCTTTACCTCAGAAGTCCCTTCTTGAGAATAATTATAATTAAAATGCTTTTGGTCTAGTGATCCAAGTAAACCCGGGGACAGAAATGCGCACAAAAGTTTGGATGGGACGCCTGAAGGAAAGAGATCACTCGGAAGATCTAGGAACCGATGGGAGGATATAAATAGATTTTTAGAAAATATGGTATGGATGTGAGAACTTGATTCACGATGCTCAGGACAGGATCTTGTGAACACGATAATAAACTTCCCAAATTCCACAAAGAACGGGAATTTCTGACCAGCTGAACTTACTATTAGATTCTCGAGAAGGTTTCTTCTCCATGGAGTTTGTTAGTGGACCCGGGGCTAATGCTGAAACGTGGCTTCATCTATACTATGAACTAGGTCCTAAACTGCAGCACAGGTAAACCTTCACGAGTTACCTTTGCATTTTCAGCGTAGTAACTGACGTGCTACTTAAAATTAACATGGCTACTTATTTAAATGCATATTAGGTAAAAGAGTTATAAATAAGATAAAATAACTTTCGGGTTCTACTATGACAAATTAATATGATAATCTCAGTATCCGAATACCAAACCATTAAACACACCAAAATATAATCTTTGTTAAGACATCAGGAAACAGACCTTCAGTAAGCAGAATTAAGATAAACGAAAATGTTCGCTGAAACAATTTTAGACAAACTGCCTTCACTATTACAAAATAATACAATTTTGTTTATATTGGTCCTTAACCTTTCCGCCGAAACAAAACACTTTTCTCACATCTGTGTTCTTTTATCACAATTAATTTCCCAGATACGGTAACCAACTTCACCAGGAGTCAAACCCAGAACTATTTTTCCAATCTGTTCCTGTAATCTCCTCGCAGAAATAAACAATTCTGGTCTTACCGCCGATATTCTATCGCGCTTACTTACCGGCAAACATGCTCATCGGGACTCGAACCCAGCACACTTATTTCGGAGTTTTAACCTTTCTGAAATCTTTTCCTGGTTTCAAGGCGCGGGTATTCCAAATTTGTGACAAACCGGTGGACCCCTTTTCAAGCTATATGCGTAAACACATTCCCACAAATAATTTCAGTTTCTTTGTAAGATGTACAAAATAATCTACCTACCCACATAAAGCTTCAGACTTTCGCCTTCAAATTACATTCTTTTAGGAAAGTGTTGAAACTAATGCACAAGCAACGTAAGGCGCAAAAGGTGTGGACAGACGGTTTGCGTCTAGCCATCATCGTAGAGCAAGGCCCGCGGTTAGGGAGGAGGTGAAGATCATCAATCTCATCACTGCGTCACATCAACACCACACCCTCATCCCATCCACTTCTCTCAGCTAGTTTTAATAAGAATCGGCAGCAGAGATTCTTCAATAGAGTACGACACAACACGACAAAAACATGTAGAATATATCAGGGCTGTCCAATCAGCAAACCTAAGTATCAATATAGCAACTGAACACATGTTGTTGTCATGAATTATGGATCAGTGTAGAATCGTGTAGATGCCATCCTTTTGGAAAAACATACATACATACATACCCTGAAGATTGACACGGTCTCTTCCTCTGAAACACTGGTAATCACCTACACACGGCATGACAAATCAGATCACAGGCGGCATACCGCTGTGACAATATCAAATATCCGACATATTAAGAGTGTTTAATTAGATAAATAGAACGTGCTTAAGTATTTAATCATTCGGATAGTCCAAGAAAAAGGTGTACTTCGTGTCTTAATCTGAGAAGTTTTGATTAATGTGAAGTCCCGTCGATGGTATAATAACTAGCCGTTCTAAAGGGATGAGAGAAGGCAGACATGAATCCAGTTTAATCCTTAATTTTGTTTCAGAGTCGGGAAGTTCGTCCGCTTGGGAACTGCTACAAGTGAATAGCAGAAGAAGTAAGTATTCATCTTTCAGTACCTGGCCTGCTTGTACAGGAAATGCCCTGCTTTTAATAGAACATAAAGGTTCAAATATGATTTGAGGCTCTAACGGCGAGTATGAAGATGTCTTCTGGGTTGTTGAGCCGTGTAGTCTAGTAGAGTTCCACCAGCGTTTCAGAGGTCCCTTGTTACTCCATCGCCAGGGCTATGAGTCCTCACCCTGATTATGGAGACAGCGGGTAGCTCTGAAACGTCGGTAAACCTCTACCAGACTGCACGGCGCTACAACCCAGAAGACAGCCATCTTAAAGAAGGCCATTTTATTGTACACAACAGCCCGTCACTGGTCCCTGTCGTCAGCCAGATGACTCTAACCCTCATTTTTCCACCGGGTTCTTTTGAAGACTGTTCCATAAAATTTGATGAATATCTTGACTGGATGATCCACTGTTGGGTTTCAAAAAGATGTCCGATACATGCAATCAGTCATATCTTGATGCCTATGTTTATGGCTGACCAAATTCAGAAATACACATTCCAGAATTAAGAATAGGCCTGTTACAGCAAGTATCAAATGTGATTAAAGCGTATGGGTACTGCACAGTTAATTTCCATTAATAATGCACAATCCAAATTCCGTCCTATAAATTGTGCCATAATCTGATGGTAGTTTACATTTCCAGGTTGCACGTACGAGGGTTTGGTGTACGCAGAAGGTCAACAGGTGGTTATTAGCGAGGAACCATGTCTGAACTGCAGTTGTCGCCAGGGGTCTCTAGTGTGCTACCTGCATGTATGTCGCCCCCTACCAAATCCACCACCGCCAGAATGCGTTCTGGTTCATCGCAAACATCACTGCTGTCCAGAACTTATCTGCAAGGGTGAGTGATCCCAATCAAGCATTGTCTCAAAATAATTAAATTTTAAACTATGTTCACGTTAATTTATCTGAAAATTTCATGGAACACGAAACTTAAATCTTTCGGAAACTTTACGTGTCTTCCAAGAAATCTATCGGCGTATTACTTATCGTTCAAATGTAAAAAAAAAATCCTCTTCATTATTTTGATAAGCAACAGAATTCTACGGCTCTGTACTTACGGGACACTCTGTATATCTTGGACTAGAATTTATTAAATACTCTTTATAAGCCTAAAATCCATCTAGTTCAAGAACAGAATAAGAAAAGAAAAATCATGTTTACATGTAAACCACCATATGAGGTCACTTGAAACACTCCCAAGAACTACAAACGTGTTAAATTTTATAACTCGAGCGTGACAAAATTATCACTGGAAAGAAAAGGCTTACGAACTTCTCTAAACTATATCAACTAAATATCACCGCAGTTTACGTATACAGTTCCGCATTACATCCGTGCTAGAGAAGATGCCGAACGGCACGGTGACTAAGCCAACTACAGAATATGACAAACTCGCATTATAGAACTTCATCGGCGATGATAAACGGATTAACTGTAAGTGAAGCATTATTAACCAGGGCTCTTTGAGCTCACAGGATGCTAATTCCAAATATTTTACACGAGTTACCGGTTGTACTGCTGGAGACCTGAGATGAATTAAACTGGGGCTAGATCAACACATCAGATGATACTGCTAAGACATTTAAACCACAAAGACTGACCTTAGGCTAGAGCTCTGATGGATAAAGCTAGAAACAAACACAGAATTTAGTGAAGAAACGTCTTTAAAAGCGTTCGTTCTGTTAATGTGAAATAAACTGGAGTGACTATTCAAGTCCGGGAGCAAAGATAGAATTAAACTTTTGGATTTAATTAAACATCCTGATAAGCTGTATATTATTAGATACAAATAAAAAGGCCCATAGGCCTCTTCGGATTTAAAAATGTGGGGATTCTCCAAAGTCACTAGTGCGCGCAAAAGAACACACACGTAAAGTCCCATGTTACTTTAGTCCGAATTAAATCAAAATTTCAAAGTGCGCATTTTAGTGAACCTCCCTAATATGAAATTTAATTAAAATCTGTCCAGTGACACTTCAGTTGTTACACGCAAACAGACAGACATAAAAAAAACCAACATGTAAAGTTGCTTGAAATTTGTTGTAACTCTTAAATCGCGAAGGCGCCCAAAAACGTTGACACGTGTACCAAAAACGAGATTCGAACTCGAAGTCCCTATGTTCGAGTTCAATGCCACAGACATCAATAGCCTCATACCATTAAAAAATAATTACAGTGTACATGCGTAAAGCAGAGACATTGATGTTATAAAATAATAAAATTGCTTATAATGAAAGCTTAAATTTCCAACATCCCACATTCAAGACAGTCAACATAAATCTTTACGAACTGAATACATTACCATATCGTTACAGAAATTATTTCTTTCGTATCACGTCAAATTACTGATTCTAAAATTTGAACAAACATGAGTTGGACAAAGAAGAGTGAAAATATTGGCTGAAATGAGATGAATCCGGATGTTATTCTCCACGAGTTTGTGTGTGGGCCCCTGCCTACGCCACCGCATTCAGAAATCTCACGGGCTTTACGAGCACATCACCCTTGCGACCTTATCCTATGCGATCAGAGATATTTAGAGATGGGGAAATTCCCGTTGTCTGAAGACGAAGTTATGGCAGGTGGGCAAAGGCGAGCTGCTTCTAAAATATTCGGCACGGGCGGATAGTTTAAACACGTAGTCATCATCCGCTGTAACAATCATTACCATGCAGCTGTATTAGGGAAGAAACTAGTTTGAATCCAGGTTGGGAAAAGGATGCCTTGAAAATGGGTTACAGTCGCTTCTTTGCACTCTTTCTACATCCCACTGATTATTACATAACCCAAATAGTTTATACAGCATGGTATTAAGAATCCATCAACTAGACTAAGAGTTCAGTGCAGCTGAGAAATTTTTCCACGAAATTAATAATTATTTACAAATTTTATAAAATTTCAAAAAAAAAAATAAAAATCCATTACTCACTACGTTCCAACTAGCAAGTGGAGGACCGACCAAGAAAAAACTAATTAGAGAATCAAACCCCAGCCAATTTAAATCATGGAAAATATTATATTTGAATATGGAGGCAGTATGTTTCTTCGAATCGATGATATCTACGGCGTTACAACTTCAAAGTTTCGCACCGTCACCATGTTCGTTAACTGTTATCGCATAAAAACTCTTTCAATGGAGTAGCTGTTGCATCATCTCACATACGTAACCTTGAAACGTATATTACTACGGGGTCTAACCTGTGAATGATATCTTGACGAAATTTACAATACGTCACATATAACACAAGCAACTCTGGCCTTACTGGAGAAGTTCTCTGCCCGTTTTCTTATCTTCCGAGGACGACGTTTGGTAGAACACCTTAGACAGAGTGCCAGCCCGTCGTAAAAAGCCTCTACCTACATAGGACAGCACAATGTAGAGAGACGTTAACTCACATCCACGCCTCAGAAAGGATTCGAACCCAAGATATTCCGTCGTTCGATAAGCCGATATTTGACGCCTTAACAACGCCACCGCCATAATAAACTGATGTACGTATATTTTCTTGAAGTTCTCCTTCGTCTTAGTTTAGAATCAACACTACGACTCTGGCTTTGATTTCGTCTTAAGCTGAGCAACGTAATCAGTTGGGTCCATGGGAAAAGCTAATCCAAATCTGGGGGAGGGGGGAAAACTGTATCCAAATCTTAGACAGTGGTTACATAAACGAAATCGTAGGAACATTGATATTTACTTTCAATCTCGATAAACTACTGACATCGAGTCTATTTTAAAGGGTTATTTTTAATATCAGACGATGTACAAAGTCCATGAATTTTGTAACCCCGAGTACTGACATAGATCTCTCCTTATTAAAACCCCTTTTCTCATCACGCGGAACCCAAGGGTTCTGCGGATCACGCTTTGAGAAACAATGCTGTTAATTTGTACTCTAATTTGAATGCTACACTGCTGCTACTCAACGGTCGTTTTCCGAAGTAACAGAGTACTTAACTGCAGTTTAAAATCGATATAATGTTTTTGTGAACGGTATTAACTGCAATCTTGTTTGGTTAATTGTACGAGGAACATAACAGTTTATACCCTTGTACTACATTTACGTGGGCACGAAGCCAGTAATCGGCAACATAAAGGAAACTCATTACTTGCTCTTATTCTCAACGCGACCGTGGAACTTTGTATTGCTCAAAGTATGTCCGTTCTTCGACACGTCGGTTTCGGGTACATGCTGCTGAAGATAATTTATTGGGCGGAAACATGAATGCTATAAAAAGAAATACGACCTCAATTAGGGAATAGTAGGAAAGCTGGTCTCGAAGTAAATGCAGATTTAAGAAAAAAGAATGCGAGCTGAAAAGCAATGCCTCCTATTTTCCCCCCCAACGGGAATAGATATTTACCTGAAATACAAACGGGTACTTTTCTTGAACTTCGATACATCATTTTGTAGGTCCTTCTCAATATTATTCACCTCTGCGTTCCACTCGTTTTGCCAGTATTCAAATGTCCGTCACGACAGAAAACTGCATCTTGATAATGGACTCACACCTTCTTTACTTCATCGCCTGGCAGGCAGTGAAGTCCTCTAAGACGTTGCTTCAGTTTAAGAAAGAGATGTAAATCAGACGGAACCAAGTCTGGGCTGTGTCCTGGGTCATCCGAGGCGGTAAAACCGAGGCGACTTACCTCATTAGTAGCTCGATGCTCATTTTTGTCATTGCAGACAGGCAATCACGAGTTCAAGACCCGTGACACTGTGGCAGTCAGATTCCTTAATTTTACCTATACACACACGCATTGACTAAGCAGAATACAACGGGTCACCGCCACTGGTCCCTACCCTGAGCCAGATTAATCCAATCCACACTCTCTCACCATTTTTCCTTAAGATCTACTTAAATATTTCCCTCCTATCTGCGCATAGGTCTTCGTAGCGGAAGTCCCCAACTAAAATTCTGAACACAATTTTCATAAACCTCATGCGCGCTACATGCCTCGCCCACCTCATCCTCTGTATCATCATGCTAATATTTGAAGAGTACAAATTATGAAGCTCCTTATCATGCATTTTGCCTTATCATTCTGGAACTTCTAGGCACCGTTCTCAATACACCATGACATTTCATAGGGCCTACAAGATGAGAAGTCATCAACAGGCCTGTATCACAAACAGCCCTTGCATAAAACTATATAACAATTTTAGATCGATATAAAAACAAAGCAGCTACTACAGAGCAGTGTTATTAACGTTATTAAGCAAACAATAAGCACATTAATTCTCAAATACTCTTAAAATTACTAAATGTTAAAGCAGATGGTTCACTGTTCGTTAAAGGGTTACATAATCTAACATCATAGAAAATTTCTGGATCGCAAACCGCTCAAAATTAAAAAAAAAAATATTGAACGCATATGAATAAAGAAATGTGACAATGTTCCAACACAAACTTGACACCAATTTTTAAGACAGTCCATCTGGAGGACTGTGGAAAGAAATACACGCCCTCACAATATATGAATGCAAATTAAGAGTACTCATTTTCCTAAGTAGGATTTCAGATTCTCACGGAGACGATTAGTCTGGTAGAAGTTTACCAACGTTTCGGAGGTGCTTACTGAGTTCAATATCACAGCTTCCTCCATCATCGCCCTCATGATGGAGGCAGCAAGAACTTTTTGAAACGTCGGCAAAGTTCTACCAGACTAAACGGCGCTACAACCCAGAAGACAGCCATCTTCGTACTGATTTTCCTGTTTCAGATGGAGGAACCTTAAAGAAAAAGTTGGATGGACGATCGGATTTAATACCTGGAGGGACTGACACGAAGACAGACGGCGGTAAGTCTCAAGTTCCTTCTATAAGGACACAAGGATATAATTAATCTGACATGTGTTAAAATCCTCTGCAGAGACATATGACAAAGTATTATTTAAGTTACTCTGATTCCTCTTTTCAGATGATTGGTTGGAATTGCGTTATCAGGTTTCTTTTATTATTGTTATACACAGCAGTACAAAAGTCAGCACTCATTGATCATCCCTTGAATACAATGTGTATCAACGTAGAAGTTGACCATTTTGAATACTTAAAGTAAAAAGAGTATTCATGAATGTGTTTGTAAAGATTTTTGTAAGGGTGACCATCCAACGCACAACTGTAAGAGAGAGAAAAATCATATGAATTTTTATTTCAAGTGTGTCGTAACTTTTTCACCATTCTGTATATTTTCACCCTGTCTGGATGTTAACCCTGTGTCCAAACTGCTTGCTGGACAAAGACCCCTTAACAGCGGTCCACAAATGATTATTCCATATTTCTGTGGCTATCCTCCATACTTGTATAGAAGGGGCGCGCTATGTCGAGGTAATAAGGTATCTACTTAAAGCTATTTCCAACAGCATGCTTTGGTAACAGCAGAGTTCTGATACCATAGGGTTACTTATACTACCTGGATCTTTCCGAATACTAACTTGTAAACAAAAGCCAAATTAAGTGTGGTATAAATGAATCAAATTCACATACGTCTTCCAGCTTGTGTGGCCAATGGAACTGTATACGCGGAGGGTTCAGCGATGCATACGTCTGGGCTGTGCGACTACTGTTACTGTATCAGAGGAAATCAGCAGTGCACGCAACCACAGTGTCTTCTATCGCTGGAGGGCTGCACACCTGGTTACAGAGCCCTCTCCTGCTGCCCAACACACTATGACTGCAGTCAGTTCAATCTCAGGGCCAATATGATACAGATTGTCATCAAATATTATTTTTAAAACTTTTTTCTTGTCATCAAATATTATTTTTAAAACTTCGGTAGTTTTTCCTTGTGCCTGGACTTATCTTAAGACTTTCATATTAATCTCTGATATCACACGAATGTGCAGATAATGTTACATTTCTATACTTCGATTAAAGTTAAATGCTATTAATTTTTAAACAATGTATATAATCTGAAATTTGCGATCAATATACCAACCGGGATATATTTGATTTAATTTTAAATGTAATTTTCTAGTAATAACAATATAAATGCACATAAAATGTCAAGAATATCTTGAACATTCCTTAAGGCTGAGATCGTTGAATTGAGGTGACGTACGTATTTAGGAATACTGACATCTACAATTCGTCTGGAAAATTACATTAATATTCAACTGTCCTGAAATCAATTCAGATCACTACAGTAAAAAGACAAAAATAAAAGAGAAAATTGTTGATAATCAGTCATCTAAAAACAATAGTACATTCAACTCCCAAGATATCTTGTATACCAACGTACTTACAATGGGCGATGCCCAACTTAAACATTTGTATTTACTAATGGTACTGATGATGGCTGCATTACAGGTGAAGCCATTGCTGCTGATACAACAACAACATCTACAGAACCATCGACTTTTGTTGGTAAGTACTGAACAATGGACTGCATAACCATTAGAACTTCTGTTTCTTTACACGGCCTTAAAATGTTCACTTACGATGATTCAAAAGCGCAACAAAAAGATCATGCCAATTTTCATAAAATCTGTCAATTGGTTCAGGGGAGGGGGGCAGTCACACAATTATGGTGACATAAACTTAGCCTTATAATATATGGAAAGTAGGCTGATAAAAGTTTATAAACTCTTTTTCTACAATGTTAGATCCACAACCTAATTACATGGTTAAAAAAATATTACAACCTAATTACACGGTTAAAAAAATACTGCATTTTAAAAGTATAAATGTATTCATTAAGACACTGTTCTTCTGGGTTACGATGCTCATGACACTGTTCTTCTGGGTTACGATACCGTGTAGACTTAGCCATGAAGATGGAGACAGAATGTTTCTCCAAAACAATGGCATCTACCAATAATGACAAAACCTTGAAAAATAATATCATCATTCTCAGTGCTGTGTAAACCTCAAATATCATATATTCATTGTGTTCACAGGATGTGAATTAAATGGTCAGTTCTATCCCGAGGGGGAAATGGTTCAAACGGTGGCCCGATCAAAATGTGAGAAATGCTACTGTTTGAAGAGCAGGATACAGTGTGTGACTATAGAATGCACGCCCCCTCCGTTGGGATGCAGTCCCGTCATAACTTCAGGAAAATGTTGTCCAACAAGCTACAACTGCAGTGAGTTCTTACCATGCACACCTTCTGAACAGCAGTCTCAAGGGTGAATCTACCCATTTTTGTTTTATTTATTTCACATCGATAAATTACGCTGACAAATCCTTTGAAATTGTGGCAAAGATCACATAAAAAGAAAAAAACTGAAAAATTCTTGGAAGTGACTTTCAAGGAAATTTTGTGAATATAGCAGTTTTTGTGCAACACCTGTCTTATTTAGGGTCAGTGGAAAAAATGTTTCATGAAATGGGCCTATAAAAATATTCTGCGTAAAACGTATACACAAAAATTTATCGAATAATATCTGAGCCTAAAGATGCATGAAACTGTACCCACTTTCACGCTCCCTGTATGAAATCACAAAATTCCATGCTATGTAATTGAACTATTTTTATTCATACTTACATATAATTTTTGCTTTAAAATGATGGTTTAGTTCTCACCATGATATTGTCCTAAAAGTATTAATTTTATAATGTCGGTACACTTGCAGATTTTTAAAATAAAACTGACACTATTTATATAGAAGCTACACAGCTATGTAATTCCAGGTGGAGTGAGTGAACTGGAGCTAACGGAAGACATCTTTCCGGCTCTTGACGCAGGCAACAATCATCTTGAATTGTACACAGATTCTAAGTTACCGGTAAAGTACAGCTTTTGAAATCACAGATACAAAATGTGATTTGAGACAACTTAATTTGTAGAAACAAGGTAAAACAACAAGAATATGATGCATGACTGAAGGTCTCGACAAAACAACTTAAATATGAACCTATGAAATCAGTTACGTTCTACGTTATTCAAAAGCCATTAACCCAAAAGACTAGGAAAAATAACCACAAAACTTACAGTAATGAAAATACTAGGTGATCTCATAATTCCATTAGCCAAAATACATTTAAATGTAGTAATCATTTGTGATTTTGATACTGGGGGCACCTTTTCAAAAGCTCCTCTTACAATGAATAAATGTGCAACAACCCGTACTTGATGGTAATACGTATTTAATGTTCTGGATTATGTACTCAGATTTTAACCAAAACTGGAACATGTCAACAAACTGTATTAATACTCCCAAATTTAAAGTTTAATGAAAATCTGTCCAGTGGTTATAAAGCATTATACAAGGAAAGACATACATGACAAAGCTAATAAGCATTTTTTAATGCTTTAAGTAGTGAACACACCTGATATTCATTCTTATTTAATGCTTAAACCAATTCATGATATATTTTTAAATAAATAATTCAATATAATATTGTAAAATACATTAAAATTATCAAAATTCTAATTGTCAGTATACTTGGAAGTCACTGCTATAAGAATCAGAAACACATTGTCATAATCAAGAATTGTTTATTATTTTTAGAGCAGTGCAATAACCAAGCGGAAACAGGTTAGTTCAGTTCGCTCAATGCCTGGATCACTAATAAAATCAAAAAATCACTACCAGCAACAAGTCACCGGTGAAGGAAGAAGCAACCATGATGGCATCAAAGGAGCTACAAACAGCACCACTACAGAAACATCAACAGATGATTCAATGACTAGTGGTACCACGGCGGACACAACTACTGAGGAAATAAGTTCAGAGACGACTATCACTGCCACCACGACAGATGTCACAACCACCAGCACACTGCAGCCCACTACAGTCACTGTGCAGACCACCCCAGAGGCTTCAGGTGATAACAATACTCAAGAGAGATTTCTAGTGACTCAGACAGAAGACAACCAAGTGACCACAGCCACAACTATGAGTGATGAAGACAAAAACCTTGCGACCATGTTAACAGAGATGACATTTATGACATTGTTTCCTACAACAATGATAATACCAGAAGATATGTATGTGGCAAACATAACAGTTCACAGCAATGTGACCATTGTTGAAAAAGATGATAATATCACTGCTGTGAATGGATCATTACCGCCCATACGTGCGATTCCACCAGAGATTGAAGCTATCCTTAACATCACTCGTAAAAAAGATGATGATTATGAATACGATTACAATGAGCCTTCATTACCGCCATCTTTGCCAAACTTAAGGTAAATATAACCAGAATTACTTACTGGATTGACATTCAATAAAATGTATTATTAACCTCTCCACTAATTTGACTGTCTGTATTAGTATAAAAAAAATTAATTCTAACAAAATATAATAATGGCATGCTATAGTTTACTGAAGCTCTCCATAACAAATGTATTAATTATCTTGATAAAACAAAATGTAGTGAGGCAAATTTATGATTTAACAAAATATAATTCAAGTAACTTGACCCCTAATTATAAAAATATAGGAATATTACGAATGCATAAATAAAATACACACCAAAGTGAAACAGGGTTGAAAATCAAAAGGAGAAATGACAACGTTATCTTCGTATCATTTGAAAATAAAATTTCTGCTTGCAGAATTATTCCCTTTGTAGCAGCAGGTGCAGTTTTAGAAGATGATGATGATGATGTGGATAGGCCCACATCTTATCCTGGACAGGACAAACACAGACCAACAGACAATCCACTGTACTACAAACTTTCACATCCAAATCGCTTTTCACCGCCTGTTGAAACAGAAGGTAATACTGACAGAACACTTGTATGACGATTGTATCCCCATCATGTTCTTGGGATTCTACTGGTTCAGGCTACTATAATACTGAACTAATTAACTACTGACTTCTAGGTCCCCTACTGCCACTGCATCAGTCTTGTATTAATTTCAGGTGGTTTTGTTCCACGTGAACCTATTCTGGATGGGCCATACTATGAGTCAAAATATGAAGTGCCGTATCACACGACTGGGCTCAATATTCCTGAAGCACATATGTCTGTTGATATTACAGTTGGGACAATTATCCCTCCATCAATAACACTGCTGCCAAAGACAGACAATGGTAAGTACTTTACATCCTCTACTTGTGGTATCCCTAATTTATATCTCACAACTGAGTCCTGAAGCAAAAAGCTCAGCACAGATTTTCAACATTGTATCACAAAAAGTACTCCAAAGGACCTCAAATTGCCCTAATTCCAAATTCAATAAAACATTCTTAAGGAATTCCACATAACATATCAGTACTTCATCAGCACTTCTCCATGACCAAAGAAATATTGCGTAACCTATCCAGGAGTTCCCCTACTCTACTCTACTCTACTCTACGACTCATTCAGAATTTCTCCAGGATTCCTTCAGCAATTCTTCATGACTAAAAAATTTGCGCATAACATCTCCAGGACTTCTCCGACACTACTCTAGGACTTTTCCAAGATTTCTCAAGGAATTTTCCTGGAATTCTCCATGATTCTCCAGCACTTCTCCAGGACATAACCACGACCACCCGATCAACACGATAGACATTCTCCAGGACAAACCAACCCATCGTGAAACAACAGCCTTATATAACCTACCCTTAACTTACCTAACTTAACTAAACTTAACCTAACCTAACACAACCTAATCTAATGTAACTTATCCCAATCAAACTTCAACGAATCCAAATTAACCGACCTGCATATGATACAAACCCACCACCGCTTAACGACTTCCTGACCACATAACCTTCCAGGACGTCTCCAGGATTTCTCCAGCACTTCTCCATTACCAAAGAAATTCCGCATAACCTATCCAGGATTTCTCCAACACTACTCTAGGACGTCCCCATGACCACCCGATGAACACGCCAGAAACTGTCCAGAACAACCTAACCCATCGTAAAACAACACATCCTATCTAACATAACCTAACCTAACCCAAAACAAGGCAATCTAATCCAATGTAACTTATCCCAATCAAACTTAAACAAATCCCAAATAACCGACCCCCATATGATCAAACCCATCACTGCTTAAGATCTGACATCTTTTGTCACCATGACACCAAGAAAACCATAATCTCACAAATTTAAGCAGAATCCATTTTATTAACTGTTATAAGTAAAATGAGTGTTGGGCATTTGGTGATAAAAATAACTCCATGGAGCAGAATCCTTCTTCAAAAGCTAAACTTGTCAAGAAATTCCCAAACTTTTATGAAACACAAAGGTGTTCACAAGAACCCACCCAATGCTGGTCCCTATCCTATTCCAGATGAACCCAATCTAGACCTCAAAACCCCACTTGAACATTAGGATTGTAGACTGTGTCCTACATTATTTGGTATTTAGGTGTCTAAACAAATGATTTTGGACAATTCGGTTGTAAATATTTCTTGAATATCTAAGTCTTCGGATATTACTGAATTTGATATAATTGTGTTTAGACATTTATCTTTAGGTATTGTGTAAATAAATGCTGTTGCAGAGCACTGCCTGTCCGATGGTCGAGAGTTTCGGCATGGGGAGCTCATTTCAGAGCCTGGCATGTGTGTCACCTGTCTGTGCTACTACGGAGAGGTGCTGTGTCAGGAGGACAAGTGTCCACATGTCAAGACTGGATGTCGACGTCTCAAGGAGAAGGAACTTGGTGTCTGCTGTGGGCGAGTCATCTGTGGTACGAGGTGTCCAACCAAAGTAACCTCATTGTTTTAATTATCCTAATGATATTTGGTAAAAAGTACAAATTCTGACATTCAACACTGATTTATAATAGGTATACGCTCCATTCTTCCACAGGTACAGAACAATATGCCTATGGTCTGAATTTATCTGGGGACCTAGTAATAATAATATTTTACTGTTTTTCAAGTAAATAAATTTGGATCACCGAGGTACATTCTGGCAGATTTCTGTAGGAAAACAGGACTCCTATAAATCTTATCACTGTACCAATTTACTGCTAAACTTGCCAGTCCACTTTCAGACTATGTTAATGCGTAGTATTCATATCTGTGTTAACTAATGTTGATTGTTTGTCTTCCAGACGATGCTGAATCACCAACAGTAGTGTTGGATCGAATTGACATTACTCCAAGTCCTCTACAGACACTGCAGCAACAGGCTGCTGCACATCTTGGCGCCATTGTACCTCCTATCACAGTAGCTGATGGTGTTGTAACTCCAGACCCCTTCAGAGATGTAATTCGGACAGAACAAGCTCCAGATTTGCCATCTCTCATTGAGGATATGATGCCATATCTTCTGGAGCATCATGCTAGCACCAGCATTACTACTACTACCACTACCACAACAAAACCTTCTACCACGCCTATTCAGGAGAGAAAGACTACAAGTGCCACTGTGTCTTTCACACAGACATCCACATTTAATAACAGCATTGACCCCATTACTCAAGATGTCCTTGGAAAAACCAGCAGTAGCAGCAACAACAAAGGAAGACCAGTGGAAAAACTACCCCACAATACAGGCCCTGATGACAATCTTAACACAGAAGAAGACAAAGATGAAGTTTCTGGTATTTCTTTGGACAGTGTTCTTCAGTTCCTATTTTCTGATGATGAGACCACTAAAACACCATACACTGCAACACGTAGGCCTACAATGCAGCGTCCTAGCAATGACAGTAGTACGTCACAAAAAATTACGTTCACATCACACAACCTGACTGCAACACATTCATCTGAGAATTTGAGTGAAGCACAAAACAAAAAGCAATCCAAAAATACAACCATCAAAATAAATACAACACCAAACAATCAAGATGTCCTTAATTTCATGACGGGCTCGACAGCTTCCGGTATCAAGGACAATGTAATACCACAGGCAGTGACGACGGTTTTGAACAATGTCAACCCAACTGCCAGCAGTCGCGAACCTCCCCCAGGAAGGCCTCCCAATCTTCAACACTCTCAGTTGCCAGCACCAGTGTCAGCAGACCCAGGGGCAGCATCAGGGCTTCTGAAACTCGCAGGTTGTAACATCTACGGTCGCATGTACCGGGTTGGAAGAATAATTTCGGAACTGTCCGGTCCCTGCCTGGAGTGCATGTGTACAGAAGTCGGGGTGCAGTGTCGACCACTTGACTGCTGATGGCATTATGATTATGGTTCCCAACTGATGGTCTTCAGAACTACAGAAAATGTTAGCTAAGGATTCATATTGTGCTATCTAGAAATGGCATCCATTGAAACACCATTGACATCCTAAATGCATTTAATTAGCTTCCCTTTTATAATTAAATACTTCACTAAACTTCTAACCCCAGAGCAGAACGTCTCAGCTAACCACTTTTCTTCTACATGTACAAATTTATAGGCTAAAGATTTTAATGACAAAACATGTTTTTTGTTTGGGAGAAATCAATTTATAAACCTTATCTGCTGAAAAGAAACATGATAGCATGAACCCAAAGTTCTGTACACCCATATCAGCCTAATAAGATAAATATGACAAAACTGGGATAATGTTGCATACTGCATTACCCACATTCTTACACAGTTAGAAAGTAATAGGTGGTATAGCATAAGGAAAGATATGGAGTCAAAGGATCTGTGATTATTTTAAAGGTGGCTTGTCATTAAAACTGTTACTGCCTATTATCACAAAAAAAAAACACCCGTAATGGAGAGATATGCCACTTTCTTGCTTAGCGGAGCATTCTTTTGTTGGGAACCACAGAACGCAGTTTTTGTTAAGTTGTTTTCACTGTATTATAGTATCAGAGACACAGAGCTTTAAAACTCACAAGGAAGGCTATGAACACAACACAATACTTCTCCACAAGATGTTTGTAAACCAAACCCAAGTGAACGCTTCTGAACAAACCATTCAATTACGCAACAGAACGGAAAAGAGAAGCTACAAGTTTTTTCGGCAATCCCTCACTTGATTTTTGCAGTTTTGAAGCAGTAATGTTTGAGGGCTCTAAAAGCTCTTTCCATAATTTTAAGTGTTTATTTATTTGAAGGTGACAGAAAAGAGGGGAACATGGATATTTTAAATTACGTACATGGTAGGTGTATGATCATATCTTCAGAATTCTAAACTTGAACAACACTCCCTCCCCTCCCCTGCACCATTCATATGGATACAATAACTTGCCAAATGCCGAAATTATTGCCACAGCTGTACCTCTCCACTTATAGCTCTATTTCAATTATGTGTCATTCCAGTTTGAAGTCTCTCCACAATTCATAATATAAACTATGCATTTCCATCACCAGCTGAAGAGAAAATCAGCTACAAGCCAAAAGGAGATTATCGCAGAATGAAATTACAATTGCATCAAAACTCTGGGGTCACGACGGATAATTTACCGATAAGACCACGAGCTTTCACTCTGCTTACATTGTGTCAAACTTTGATTTATGGAAAGCGCTAAAGTTATAATACATGATATAAGACACAATATCCACCTTCTTAAAATCAGGTAATGATTCAAAAACTGATTTGTAAATAAATTGTAAAGAACTATATGTACTTTTGTTCATAAACTTTTACAATTAGTAAGAATAATTTGCCAAAAAAACAATGCAAAATTAATTTTAGTTCATACACAACAAACCATCAATCTGCCACAAAGTATGGAAACAGCTGATCAAATTCTTAATACCACTTTCATTCTGGAAGCCAATGTTTTTGTAGTGGCTTAAGAACATCTTGAGAAAATGAACAATTGTAATTCCAACATCCATAATTCAGTACTGTTTTGTAGCGTAAAAATCTTGAAATTTTCATACGGACTATTAACACCAGTATTGCATTTAAATGGATCAAACCTAGCATCCATTCTAAATTCCATAAATGAATGATGACAAATGACACTACATTGAATTTACATTTTGTAGTTGCAAGAGAGTTTCAGAAAAATAATGTTCTTACAAGTATTAAGTGATCTGACTTTATAAACCTGTGGTCGTCTCTCTCTCTCTCTTTTGCTTGTAGTTCTGGTTTTCTCTCATTAAATCAACACCTCAGTATTTTACATGGGCCAAGTGCAGATGTCTTTTTTTGTGTCAAGTCTCTCTCCCAAGAGTAAGGCAGGAAAACGCAGACAACACTGCAAGATGAATTTGTAAGAACACTGCTAAATCCTGCAAGTTTTAAAATGAATGAAATTTGCTTTGGTATAAAGTACTGAAACACGATGAAAACCGAGATCTGTTCTTTTCTGTAGAAAGGGTGGAAAATCAGTTAATATGGAACATAGTAAGTCTTAAAATGACAACTGCACTTAGGTCTTCACACGTGACAAATGCTCCCACCGATCATTACAAAACGTTAAGTTACGATACCTCAATTCATCACAAAGGAATACAATTATACTTTCTATAAATTCGATAAACAATGTTAAATCAAAATTGTACACATTACTGCAATTGATAAACATCTTTATTTTTTTCAAACTGTGTTTCTCGAATTTAACGATGCAATGCCGCCTTGTACCACTTTCATAAAACACAATTTTCTAGAGCATTAGTCTACACGTAACAATTTTAAATTTGTCAGTATTAAACAGTGCATAACGTAACATGAAATTAAAGGTCTCGCTATACTGGGAAAAGGGCAATATAATGTTTAAGAGTATATTTTATTATCAACTTGGTTCGCATTTTGTCTTAAAATGACTGTACACAATTATAACCACCAATTTTCAAAACTGGTATAGATATTCTTATATTTTGGTAGAGGATGTTGAGAAACTGATATTCACATGATTTTAGAATTTGTATACTTATCAATTGGTTCTCATCCTCTGTTAAGACTATACAAAATGTCACCTTTACTCAATCTGCTCCTGCAAAGTATAATTTGTAACTTGCACCGTGACAAAAATGTGGTGATTCAGCTGAACTAGATGTTCAGCGGCAGAAGAAATAATAAACCAGAATAAACAAGGAAATAGCAATTATCGGTAGCCATAATGACAATGCAGGAGGAAAAGTAGAAAGGTGTATTGTAGTTATTTATAATTTCCAAATTCAATTAATGTGTAATGTCACAGACAAAATTTTGTTTTATACAACAGGCTATCTCTAACAACCTTCTGTTCAGTACTTTCTGAGTAAACAGGCAGGCAAAACTTCTAAATTCAACTTTCATACACTTCAACCTATATCAATTACAGTCATATCACCAGGTGGCTATGTTTCTAATTAGATGCGAATCGCCTTAATTAATATAAGAAATCGAACTACATTAAGAACTGAATGTAGTTCCTGATTACGTACGTCAAATGTGATTTTTTTTTCTGCAACGAAGCACATTAATTGTTTTCGAAATTATTACAAATATGACATATACAGAGTGTATCTCAAAGGGTTGGCACAACTGTACAGGAAAATTCAAAACACCAAATCGATGTTTTCTTTCCCGAAATTTCCGTCTCAGGATCATTCATGCCTAATGGGTTTTTTTTAAACGAACTTTGTTTTAATTCAGAGTAATGACAGGCTTGCGACGTCAAACGGGCTTTCTGAGCATTTGATACGAAATTTTGGTTCCGAGAAGGAATGAAATAAAAAATTGTATGACGTCGCGTCGGGGAACAGAATGGTTGTAACTTGGACTTATATTCGTTTGAACTGTTTCTTTGTTTTAGCGTGTGTAACTCAACCAGACCTCGAAGTTGCACCTCACAAGCTGTATGTTTTCAAATTTGAAAAAAAAAAAAATTCGCTTCCATAAAGCGGCAATATGCATAGAAAAATTTGAGATCCACGTGAAAATCTGACATTACAGTTTAGATTAGTTTTATGAGCCTCAATGTGTTTCATAGTCCAAAGTGACGGCTAGTTTTAAGTTATATGTGTTGCATACAATTATGATTATAATTAAGATGATTATTTATTTTAAAATAAGTGTATTTTCGTTGTTAATGATGATAGTATGGTTATGGCCCAAAGAAGTCTTACAGAGGCTGGGGTGGATTCACACCCGCATTATATCACTAACTGCCTGTGAAATACATTTGAGTTTCTTACCTTATATTAAATTTAACTGGGTGTCATGATTGACTATCTGATTATTCCACACATTCATGTCAACCTCACAGTTAACAAATCAGATGCTCCACGAAACAATACAATGGGTTGCATTTTGTAAAATGTATTCAATTGTCAAAATGGTATTGTGTTAAATCGAGTAGCTAGTATTTTCTATTGTTATATATACCTCTCACTCTGAGTCTTGTAAGTAGTAGTAATGTAAACTAAGAATTATATTAAGATTACAATGTGAGGAATGAAGAAAAGTGAAAGGAATTCAATGGTGAATAATAACAATTTTAGCATATCCCATGCTATTCGACCTGCATATTTTCTTAACAAAATACTTTTATCCCCCCCTCCCCCTTGTGTCTCATTTTAAAACATAGGAGCATGTCTAGTCGATAACATAACTGTGCCATCTTTTGACAACTTCAACAACTGCATCGTAGTCTCTCTGTATTTACTTATACACGGGTTATTTAACGACGTTGATAGCATCTCAGACTAAACAGCATCAAATAATATGATGGTTAATAAGTAATGGAATGGGCACGCAAGAAAGCGGTTGTGGTCTATTTTACTATTCCAGCATTTGCCTGGAATGACTGACGAAAATCACGAAAAACCTCAGCCCAGGTAGAGGGTCTCGAAGCCGAGATTTCAATCCGGAATCTCACGAATACGATGTAGGACTTCTTACACTCGGACACGGTGTTCGATAGATCATGGTTTCGAATCCCGCTTTGAACATTGATGTATGATCGCGTCATTCACTGTTCTGTACAAGCCGACTGCGCGATAGGCTGGTGCCATGTTCATCAAGAGAAATAAAAATATCTACACCATTAACCAGAACGATAGGAGGGAAGTGAATAATTAAGAGAAAAATGGCAGCTCTTCAACAAACATAAAAACCTAAATGTTCCTGTTCCTTCATTAAACGCATAAAATACAAGCGTGTTTAGAAATAATATTCTATATAAGGCAAACACAAATAGTGTTGTGTCACAAAATGGCGTACAGCAATTTCATGTTTAATCTGAAAGCTAGAACATGTGTTTTGAGTGACATTACAGACTTGTATCTATCAGTGACCGGTGCATACAATACAGCTGTTGCTGACACTGGTTATACAACGGGAATCTAATGGTATTTGAAATCCGGGACTGGTAAGGGATTATAATTCGGAATTGAGAATCTGTAGGCCTAAAGGTAAAAGCTGAAGATCTGCATACACTTAAACGACGGGTTTTTTCCTACAATTCTAAGCTTTGGCACTATGGTAGAAAGTAACGTCACACTCCAACATTTCCAACATGTGGATGTTACCATTACGCACATTAATGCAACGCAAGAAGGCCGACATACACAATTATACTTGAAAGTTATATCTACCACCTTCATGAAGAGAAAATCAATCTTTCTTTTACTCACAGTGTGAAGATATGACTGGAATACTGCTCCTCGTTGCACGATCGGTGGAGACACGTAATATCACAAAATATGTTCCGAAATAGCCTAATAATCACAAAGAACTCTTCTTGAACAACTTGGCCCACTCATTTAGCATTAATTTGGAGAAACTACTGGAAATCGCAAGAAGGTAGGCACCACAACCTTTCCTGACTTACGTTATAGCACAGACACTGCATATCTTACCCACCGATCACCACAACTATTATGATCTGAAACAAGAATAATCGCGCTGTATAACTGAAATCACCGCCTTGCAAGCAGTCCCGTAATATTCTTCATAAAATTTCCCTACCTTGTAAGTCGGAGAAGTAATGAGATTCCCAGCTGAGGTTCGTTTGGATGGATACGTTCCTTAAAGCCAGTTTCTTAATATTGATCCTTTTCGTAATATAATGTGATTACCAGTTTTCTCTTTTTTTAATGTTATTATCAAAACTGACATTCTGATAATAGTTCGGGGGAGATATGGCTTTTGCCAAAACACAGAATTGCCAACACGCAAAGTTCATATTTCCAACTTCATTTTCTATTTATATATGTTTACACAACATTTTGTACAATATGGTTATAACTGATTAATGTCTTTATTCAAATAAGAAATATATGTAATCTCAAACACTAACTTTATTTCCAAAGGCATTAGTGCACATGCAGATTGCTATCTTTATGTAAGAGAAAATATGGAAAATCTATAGTATTTTATTATATGCTGTTACTATAAAAATATTTTTAATTTGCAACAGTAACAAACAGTTTTCATCTGCATCAAAAAGCTTCTATCCTTTGTACAATATCGAGCATTATTATTCATAGCTTAATTGAGATTGCGGTAACATACTGAAATAAAAGTATTATTTTTATGTATCATCAGAATTGATGCAGATGCATCTTAATATATAGAAGATATAAACATTACACTACTAGTACAGTAAAACCTCATTAATTTGAGAACTGAGTATTCAAAGTACTGCAAATTTTGCAGTTATTATACCATAGTTCGCCAACTAACGACACACAATGTTACAGGCTTTTTAATATGGATAATTCAAAATGTAACCATAAACAAATTCAAAAGTCTCAGTCAAGTACTTGACTCTTGAAAAGTCTGTCAAGCACTTATCTCCATCTGTCAATATCTGATAAACAGCCACTCGTAGCCATCCCATGAGTATACGGCCAAAACTGTCATCGTGCCCAAGTCCCCAAGCCGGACTTTGCCAATTCCGGACAGAGAGACAAAAGCAGGCCCTTGTCAAAGGCATGGCGTACACTTCCATTCACCCTCCTCTGTCCATGATAGCAGTGCTCTTTTAAGTGTTCAACAGCTACGAATGAATTCATAAATGCAGACCAAAAAAGCTCGCTACCGTGGGACAAGTGCAGAATTCTGGATATCAGCAATGACACAATGAGATAGAGATAAACAGAGAGGACAAACAATCTGAAAATAAGGGTAGTTTCTAAAGCTTTCTTCCTGGAAGGCAGTTTTTGGATACTGTGAACCTGCTTAAATCAAAATTTATATAACTGGTCTCTCGAATTTTTAATTAACAAGGCTTTGCTGTATAAAGTACAAAATTAAAACTGGTTACCTTAAAACAGACTCTAAGTCTCATAAGACATATTTAAAAAATGCTACAGCAGAAAAATATTCACTAATAACAAAACTTGCAAATTGTTAGCTTGGACATGGTACTGTACTTTCCCAATAAAAGATTTCAAAATATTAACTTACAGAAGTTACATTTCCCTTTTTCTTTCTCCTTATTATCCACCACCACCTTCTTCAAATCCTTAGTTTGGTTATACACTCACATAATACACAACTCTTCTACATTATCATGGTTCATTGGGGTTATCAAACTGGTACTAATATTAAGAAAGTTTGACTAAACATCATTATGCTGGTAGCTCATTTCAAAAACAGAGAAGGCACGTACATATAAATTTGTAATTATTATATAAATATTAACGGTCTCACAGATGATTATCAGTGTTTGGGGGAATAACATATCATTTCTACATTAATCTAACAGAAGATAGAAGATAATATATTCCTTCAAAATGTTTGTAATCACCTGCAAGACGGCATGGCATCACAATCCAGCAGATCATAACTGATATCATCACTGTCATAACCTCAAATCTCAGATCACACAAACATGCCAATCACTCGATACAGCACAAATTCAAAAATGTTAACAGAAGCTATTTTATTTTATAAGATCATTATCAAGTGTCACGGCCATCTACATCTGCCATTACGTAATATAACACTGTAATCCGCCACATTACAACTAGCACATAACAAGTACAGTACTTACAAAAATAATGCATAATATCTGTCTTACCATGACACTGAATGAAATTATTTTGACGAGTGATAAACTTGTTATACTTTATAAGGAACTTCAAGGTCAAATGTGCAGTGTTTTCTAACAATTAGTATTTGCATTGTGTTGTCAGACTGATATATTCACAGGTTAATTACACAACACATATTTAGCATGAAATATGGCAATAATATATCATTTGGGCAAATGTCTTCAAACTAATTCATAATTAAACATAAACATTACTCTAAACATAAAGTACAAATGTTCATTATTTATGGGGCAGGAGCTGAATCTTCACCTACTAAATAACTATGTAATGACTGGCCCTTTTGTACAGATCTCTGGCAACTTACCCTATTCTTAGGCCTAACTAATATCTGCGTCACCTACATTAATATTTTGTTTTTGTGTAGCACATTACACTAAAAATAAACCTCAATAAAAAGAGACAATTATTAATAGTATTTCTGAAGCCTGCATTGCAGCACAAATGATTCATGTGGTAATTTCACTGTGGCACAAATGCAGGAAAAATGCTTGAAGACACAACAATGAAATTGTCCTTGTATGTTGTGTCACTGTCAAATGAACAAGAATGCTACATTCATGTTCCAACTAAAAATAGCCTACGTGTATACTATGCCATGTGTTGCAATGTTAAATTTGATTCAAATTAAACTAAAGTTACAAGAAATAATCATAATAAAGATATGACTGTATATGAGTAAAACAAGAACAAAGAATTTCTCACAGTAGTATGAATTTTTTAATGTATGTCCAAATGTGCTTAACTGCAAATATATGTTTATGAAGCTATCTGCAACAATAACAGAGCCAGAAGAAATTTAGTGGCATAAAAAATATAATCCTGGATGACCTTAATAATACACACAGAGCAAGATCCTGACTTTGTATTCCTGCACTTGGCAGATATTTTTCCTGGTCCCAGTATAAAACGATGTACAGGCAGGCCCCGATTTATGCCGGGGTTACGTTCCACCTCCTCAGGGTCATTAACTCAAGTAGCGTAAATCGAGGAAGAATTATAATGTATTGTACTGGCAGACGGGGAGAAAGCAACTGACACCGACACTAGCGCCACCTAGGTACCCACTTCCTGTGCTGAGTTTATAATTGCATTTTCAAATTTTCTTCTTATATTTGTTTATTTTTTATTATTTTAAAAGGGCGTTAATGTGAGACAGTGTGAAATGAAGCGCTGTAAAGCGGGGCCTACCTGTATTATTTTCCCATATTTAATCACTTTTGATTTAGTAAATTAACCTGCATGTAGTGTACAAAACTTGCAGCCATTCAGAACTTGTACCTCAGTTTAGTGCAGTTGTGGTTAAA